GTAGGGCCCAAACTAGTCCCACGACCACTAATGAATACAGAGCCAAACCAAGGCAATATATGTACACAGCCCAGGTGTGAATGCAAATAGTGGAATACAAGCTATGTGGCTCGGTTCCAGTAGATACAGAGAATATTTTGTCACTCTTAACGCGTCCTACAAAATTCTAACGAGACAGCACTAGTCCGTGAATTTGTGAACAAGATCGGAGATCTAAAGATGCAATCCCGCTGGATCTCACCGAGCCACATAGCTCATAGGGTTTTTTGAATGGTCTTAGTTAAAATAATACAGTAGTTAATAATATTACTACTAAAATTTATATTATGACCGGAACTTGGACATGGTCATATTGTAACCTATTCTTAAAAGGAAGACGAACAATGGATTCTTCTTTAATACCGTACTTGTAGGCTAATCTGATCATAAACAAACTTGGTATTATGTAATTAAATATGCATAATTATTTTCTGTGATTGATTGGTTGGTTGCTAACTTTTCAATACTTGGTAGATATAATGCACTATTCAAACTTTTTAGTGGATGGATGTAAATAATGATTAATAATTAATTCTTGTAATATTATAATTGATAAAATATAATTATTACTTATATTATTCTGTAATCGTATACTTTATAAAAAAAACCTTATTTTACTGATCAAATGTTTAATACAATTTTTAATGTTTTTAATTTTTTTTCTGAATGTCTGTGCAGTATGTGTATTGTTGATTAATTTGATTAATCCTTTGATGCTTTTATATTACTGTTTTGTATTATTGTAAGTATCACTTCATTCAGTCCTAGACTGCGATTTTGATAATTGAATAAAAAGAAATGAAAAAACTGGTAAAAATATAATGTACTGTATTAAAAAGCCAAAACTCATCACCTCTAATATGAGCGTTACGCAGGATATTAGGCATGCTACTCCATTTACTCCTACAAACTGAGTTTTGATGTGGGTAATAAAAAAGCCATCGCCACAATACTACTCCACTTTATTTACAGTCAACAGAAAGAGATGTGCAGTAATACTAGCCTTTTTCACAGACGTATGCGGGGTTTGCACAATGACAACATTTATCATTCCACTTTCTTTTCAATCTCGAGTCATAAATCTCACCACAATCTTCGTCATTCTGGTTGTTTGGTTCACCGGTATACCAATCTATAACCATAAGTCGGTACATTTACATACATGTATTCAAACGGATAAATGAAAGCGTTCAATACACTGATAATATATTAGCTTATATTCAGAATTGTCTTTAACGATTTAGTATTATAATGCAATATAATTTCAAAGATATACCATATATCACAAAATGTTCAAAGTCCTTAACAAACCAATAAATAATTGATTATTTATTATTCGAAATTATCTTTAATCAACTTCAAATTAAACGCATATTTAATAATTAGGGTTCTGCATATTTAACAGCCTTTTTAAACCTTTAAATTAATTACCTGCAAATTTACTTGTTCAAAAAAATATATAGGACAACAATATTATTTAAATCTCCGTTAATTGATGAAAACAATGAAAACATCTTATCTTTTTAATTTGCAATAGGATGCTAATAACTTAAAAATTACATTATCAAGTAGGGAAGATTGAATAAGTAATTAGTAATAATAAACTTCTCCTTGGCATAGCAATCTAATTGTCTAAATTGTGAACTAAATGGTGGCTCCAGAAATTTTCTGACTGGAGATCTGAACCAAGGGGAAGATTACAACCGGCCTCACAGTCAGGGTCACTGAATACAATCCTTTTTAAGGTTCATGGGAGAGTTTTTATGGCTTAGTAAGGCCCAAATTGGGCTTTTAGATCAATATATTAGGGATTTTCAGACAAAATAGTTTTGTCAACAATTCGGATTGGCAATTTAGTATTTCTGACTACCTAGTCGCCGTGCCGGACGACGGGACCAATTATTCCGCCTGTCCAAATAACTGGGATTTCCCCAATTTGGCCCCACTGGAGCAACCAATATTTCTATTATTTCTATTAAGAACAGGCTACCGTGTGGTTTGAACTCCAAATCTAAATTTTAAACGATTTTAAAATCTAATATGTAGACTACTTATTAGATCAACACTTGCCAGAAAAAGTGAAAGTTTCATTGTTTAACCATTTCCAGTCATTCTCTACGGCAATGTCATTAAGACCGATCCAAGTTCGTTCACAACAGACAAGGTTTCTGACGAAAGCATTTTCCTCTTCAGTGGATATGGTAACCAGGGTTGCATTTTCTTTTTGACAACGAACCTTTGCCTCATACCAATCAGTATCTACATTTGAGAGTTTGTAGCAACTGCCTTGAAATGAGCTCCAAAAATACGGACACAGACCTAAGAAACATGTACGAGGTAAAATCAAATAATATACTAATGGAAATTTACACCAAGCAAAATTATGATTATGAAATTAAAATGCCGCAGCATTGCAAGTCATATTCAATCGATAATAAAAATGACGATGTGCAACGATGTGCAACAATCATACTACTAACAATTGTTGTCCTCCATAATAACACATAATTATTGTATGACTGTAATAATACACACTTTTATATCAGTGGCTCTCAGCCGCGTTGGCAGTACATCCATAAAGAAGAAAATTAAAAGAAAAAGCCTAAGTAAAGAAGTTTATCAGAGAAATATACAAATTAAAAATAAAACCACAGTATAATAACAGAAAAATGATTTCAAAATCAACGAAACCAACAAAAAAAGAAATTCAATTGGGAATCAATTGAACTAACAAAAATATAGTAAAACTTAATTATATACTGTAATTCAGATTCAGATAGGAAGGGATACGCTCGGATGGCTCAACTAACATAGTGCTTACAATATCTACTCCGCATGCCCTTTCCCAGCAGCTCCTGCGACTCCCAATCACACACAAACCCAACTCCTTAACACTCTTTTGTCAGATGATTTGGAGATTTGGTTCTTAGCGTCACATGTGAAAATGTAAAGATGCATTAAAAAATATTCCCAATAAGTTCCGAAAAAAAGTGAAGTTAGTACATATAAAACCCTGTACATCTTTAGTGTAATTGCACTACAGTAACTTAAATATTTATCATATAGCTATTGTTTCTGCTAACGGTAATACGATAAACATATTTTTAAATGGTCCTCATATCCACATCCTACTTAGGATCGTGACCAAAATTGAAAGAGTTCTTTATTAAAACATGATAAACCATTCTGCCAATTGTCATTTTTATCTCTTGATCCACTTTCGAGATATTGTGGTCTGATACCTAATGGCAATCAAATTCACACCAGAATTTGGATCGAGTTAAGATTGTAACATGGAACATTAATGGTTTAGCAAATAAATTATCAAATGAAATTTTTGTTAGTTACTTAAAAGAACATGATCTTATATTTTTATGTGAAACATGGTTAATGAATGAGAATGAATTACCAAAGTTTAGTGGTTATAGAAGTATTTATATATGATAAGGAAGGGAAACAAACAAACATTTTTTGAGGAATTAGGAGGGCTGACTCTATTAATAAAAAAAACCAACATAATTGTAACAGAAATTAATAGAAAATTTAATCATATTATCTTGTTAAAATTTAATGAGAAATATAAAGGAATGTATATTTTTTTAGCGTTTGTTTATGCACCACCTACAAGGTCAAGGTTTGAATTTGACATATACCAACAATTAGAAATTTATGTACTTGAAATTGAAAGTAATTATGGTGAAAGTTATTTGTATTGGCAGGAGAGTTCAATTCTAGGACTGCTGAGCTAGATGACTTTAATAATAATCCAGAATCAGAAAATATAGATATTAATGATCCACCAGACCTTTATGCCAGTAAACGAATTTTAATGGATAAATATGAACTCATATGGGAAAAAAACTTACTGATTTCTGTAAAAATTATATATTGCGCATTTCAAATGGCAGGATTGGGAATGATGAAGGAATTGGTTTCTTTACGTGTTTGGACCATCAATGAAAAAATGGTAATTGATTACGTAATTGCAAGGGAATACTTACTATTTAATAACTTTTTCAATAATTTTAATATTATGGATATGTGTGAATCTGATCATCTACCAATAAAATTTAGTATAATGCTTGGTTTTAATAATACTAATAACCCAGCAAACACAAAACGTTCTTGTAACGTTCGCAAACGTTGTGGTTAGGTATGTCACAAAATAACGTTCACACAACGTTGTAAGAACGTTCAAACATCTCTTGATCCACTTTCGAGATATTGTGGTCTGATACCTAATGGCAATCAAATTCACACCAGAATTTGGATCGAGTTAAGATTGTAACATGGAACATTAATGGTTTAGCAAATAAATTATCAAATGAAATTTTTGTTAGTTACTTAAAAGAACATGATCTTATATTTTTATGTGAAACATAGTTAATGAATGAGAATGAATTACCAAAGTTTAGTGGTTATAGAAGTATTTATATATGATAAGGAAGGGAAACAAACAAACATTTTTTGAGGAATTAGGAGGGCTGACTCTATTAATAAAAAAAACCAACATAATTGTAACAGAAATTAATAGAAAATTTAATCATATTATCTTGTTAAAATTTAATGAGAAATATAAAGGAATGTATATTTTTTTAGCGTTTGTTTATGCACCACTTACAAGGTCAAGGTTTGAATTTGACATATACCAACAATTAGAAATTTATGTACTTGAAATTGAAAGTAATTATGGTGAAAGTTATTTGTATTGGCAGGAGAGTTCAATTCTAGGACTGCTGAGCTAGATGACTTTAATAATAATCCAGAATCAGAAAATATAGATATTAATGATCCACCAGACCTTTATGCCCGTAAACGAATTTTAATGGATAAATATGAACTCATATGGGAAAAAAAACTTACTGATTTCTGTAAAAATTATATATTGCGCATTTCAAATGGCAGGATTGGGAATGATGAAGGAATTGTGTTTGGACCATCAATGAAAAAATGGTAATTGATTACGTAATTGCAAGGGAATACTTACTATTTAATAACTTTTTCAATAATTTTAATATTATGGATATGTGTGAATCTGATCATCTACCAATAAAATTTAGTATAATGCTTGGTTTTAATAATACTAATAACCCAGCAAACACAAAACGTTCTTATAACGTTCGCGAACGTTGTGGTTAGGTATGTCACAAAATAACGTTCACACAACGTTGTAAGAACGTTCAAACTTTGTGAAATTAGTTTATAAGTACGTACATATGATTCTACAAAATATCTTTTTATCACCAAACTGTAACGTTAATATAACGTTCTTATAACGTAATATTGTTAGCTGGGAATAATATAGAAAATAAAACAACATGTGAAATATGTCAAACATACACTAAATAGGCCTACGTTTGGGATGAAAATATAAAAATAGACGAAAACTTAGTTAAAAATAAAGGAATATATAAACAATTATAGATGGCATACACAAAAGTATGGAAACAGGTGATTGTGAAACTTTAATTAGTAAACTTACTGGGGTACGGTAATATATTAGGAAAAAGAAAATCGGATTCACGATCATGGCATGATAGCAAACATAAAAACCAATGGTTCGACAACGAATGTTACGAGTTACGTACACGAATGCGACTGACATTGAGATCATTAAAAAAATATAGAAACGATATAACAATGTATATATAAAATGTAAGAGAGAGTACAAAGATTTGATAAGGAGAAAGAGAAGCTATTACTCTTAAATTATTAAATGAAAAACATAAAACGGGACCAGGTATTTGGAAAATAAATAATAGTGTTCTCAGAGATGAAGAGTACGCTATATTTATAGTAGGAATAATAGAAAATACAAAAAAAATGAATGTAATCTCAGCCCAGACATGCTATGGGAATACATAAAAGTAAAAATTAAAGAATTTACGATTAAATACTGTGTAAGAAAGAAAAATGAAAGAACTGCAAACAAAAGGAAATTGACCACAGAAATTAATGATCTCACTAACACATTATATATTAGTTATAGCGAAGAAATGGATAACAGACTAAAACAAAAAATAAATGATTTAGACGATATTTATTTACACAAGGCACAATGTGCTAAAATTAGATCTAGATTAAAATGGTTTGAAAAAGGAGAAAAAAAATAATAAGTTCTTTTTAGGTCTTGAAAAAAACAAAGCAAAAAGAAAACATATTACATCAGTATTAAAAACCAATGGGAAATACACATCTGAAAATGATGAAATCTTGAAAGAACAAGTGAACTTATATACAGCTAAGGGAATACCAGAAAAGAGGATAGATGAGTATTTACAAAAAACAGAAGTGAGAAATCTTTCGCCAGAAAATTCTGAAAAGTGTGAGGTTTATTATCAATTGAAGAAATTACAAATACAGTATTCAAAATACAACTCAACAAAAGCCCAGGTTCTGATGGATTAACTGTTGAATTTTATCACCATTTTTGGGATGACGTTAAAGAATTATTATGCGAATCGTTGAATTTTAGCTATCGTAACAGTAGATTACCAAGTTCTCAAAGAAATGGTATAATAAAAATGATATATAAAAATGGACAAAGAGAAAAGCTCGAAAATTGGCGTCCAATTACACTACTAAATATAGACTATAAAATATTGGCACATGCACTTTCAAACAGCGGAATGCAAAACGTTATTGGCTCCATAATTAACTACGACCAGAAAGGCTATATCAAGGGAAGATTTGGAGGTGAAAACACAAGATTAGTTAACGATATACTATCATATACAATTGAGAAAAATAAACTTGGAGCAATCATATTTCTTGATTTCGCCAAAGCCTTCGACTCTTTAGACAGAAACTTAATTTTCAAAATTCTCACGCATTTTGGTTTTGGCTTTTCCTTTATCAACTGGATAAAAACAATATATACTGAAACCCAATGCATGGTAACAAATAACAACTGGATTTCTGAAAGTTTTCAAACGAAAAGTGGAGTTCGACAAGGATGTCCGATCTCTGCCATATTGTTCATATTAGTTGTAGAAGTAATGGCCATTAATATTAGGGATAATTCACTGTGTAAAGGAATTGAATTACCTAAAACAAAAGATGATAAAGATAATATCGTAAAGATCGCTCAACTGGCAGACGACACAGTCCTTTTTACACCATATGAAATCTGTTTAAAATACTTCTTTAAAGAAATTGAATCATTTTGTGAAATATCAGGTTTAAAATTAAATAAAAGTAAAACAAAAAGTTTATGAATTGGTTCAAATAAAAATAGCGAAAAAACGCCATTAAATATTACATGGACGAAGGAACCAATAAAGTTCCTAGGAATATACGTTGTGCCATTTCAAAAATAG